TGTACTTGCCGGTTATGTATCAGTGATCTCTGACCTTTCTAAACCTGCTGGTAGTTGTTTAGCAGCTCCTGCAGACATAGCCGGTTAAGCCCTTGGTGTTTTTAAAACTAAAATCTATTTTTCAACTTTGGTTTTTGGTAACTGGAGTAATTTACATTGGCATTGATTGTCTCTAGTGGAATCGATCTTTTTCTCGCATATCCAGCAGGTGCTACACGCAGCATGTTGTTTTTGAAGTTTACCTTCGAACTCAGGCGACACCCCTATGCTGTATAATAAATCTTTCTAATCTCAATACTGCCTATTACCGTAATTTTCGGAATATAAGGCGCGGCTTATACGTTGATTTTGCCCGTGAAAATGGTCGGAGCGGCTTAATCCGGGCGCCGGGCTTATATGCTGAGCTTTGACGAATAAACTTGAGATTCATGTGAAGAAATACTGATCTGTTTTTGACAAAGTTTGCATCCTTCTGGAATGAACAATCGCTCGTTATCTGGAAACATCGTAGGCCTAGATCAAAACAGAAAGGTGGAACCGACCTGAAAGAATCGGGGCTCGACCTTCATGACCTTATCGTGAAAGATACGGTAGTCATGTTCGATACCACGCACGGACGTATATAAAGAACCTGGACTTGCAACGCCTTTGTATAAAAAGAAGCCAACCAGCGGCCATGTTACCGAGCCGAATACAAAAGCGTGGGTTGGCTCCCTCATATTGACGTCAGGAAGAACAAAGGCGGGCACTGCCAGGAAAGCTTTGTATTCGGCTCGGTAAAATGGCCGCGAGTGGATTCAATGACTCTATAAGCTGATTAAGGGCATTGCGAGTCCAGATTTTATTATACACGTCCGTGATACCACGCGCAGCCGGCGGTCAGGCAGCTGAAAGCTTTTTCGTTGGTGACAGTGCAAAGCCATAGATCTGACACTAATAGTAGCAGGCAACCAACTACCAGTCACGCAACCGGAACCGCGGACGAATAAGCCTCGCCGAA